GAATAGAATTGCTCCCTGGTGCTGCTGCAACAATCGGTTCAGACACAATTGTGTGGATGGTGCGGAGCTGGGAGATGCTTGATTCTGTACCTATTGTTGGTCATACTCAATCACATGGCATCCACATTATTGCCTATTCCAAAGAGAGGTCATACAACAGAAGGTGGACATGATCAAGCAATATTATTAACGTCACATGTAATGGTTGCAGTAGTATATCAATGTAGAATTGTGCGGAATTCAAGTTGAATTCAGAAAATCATGTAGAAAAAGGGATATCATTGTTGATGTCAGATGGATTTAGCAGAAAGCATAGAATATATGCAAAGAGATTTAACTCTGCATATCAGACCAAATTATAGATAACATTTCAAAGGATGAGCAGGAGAATGAGATTCCCAGCACACGTAATTAACTGTGCTCATTCACAACCAGAACATTGACCAAGAAACTGTTTTTTGAACAGAAGGGATACTTGGTTTGAAATCAAGAAATATGTTTCAGGGTGTATCGTTTGACCATATTGATTTAAACTGTATGCTGACCAAATAATTCAAGAAGCTTGATTATGTGAAGGACACAATATCATGATTGGAAACCTTATTAACAGCCTGCAGTATGCACTGATACTATTTTGCTTGCTGAAAATGAAAAAAAATATCTCGAAGCACTTACTGAAAAAGAGCAAGAACTTGATATGAACTACCCCTCAACTAAATAAAACATAATTGCTCATGATTGGATCAACAAACAATTCATGATAAATAGAGAAAAGATTGAAGCCACCAAGTATTTTATTTTACGTAACCACAAGCAATAGCCCCTGGAAGCAACAGTGAATAAATCAAATGTTAAAGTGCTTTTGGAAAATGTGCGGCAAAACATCTACCTCTCTGAGAACAACAAGGGCACCTGGAGGGCTAAGGTGCGCCTTACTCACTGCATGATGTGGGTTGGTCACCTCAGATGCCTTCAGAAGAGACAATAAATAGAGAAGACCAAAAAGAATCGATGCCGTTGAATTATGGTGTTATTGTGGAATATTGACCGTAACACGAACTGTCTTGGAAAAGGTACAACCAGAATGATCCTTAGAAGTTAGGAGGATGACTCTCCAGTTTGCATACTTTGGACCTGTTTTCAGGAAAAATAGGTCCCTAGAGGGTTAGTGAAAAAGTGGAAGACAGATTGTGAGCTGTAAAAACAATATTTGTGAGTATGGTCAGGGAAAAGAAGTATCCGTTCTGTTGTTTATTGGGTCACTGGAAGTACCAATTGACTTGATAGCACTTACATGAAAGCAACAATGTAATACACTTGACAGTCAACTAATCAGCTTGTTCAGTTCTGTACAAACCCCATTGAGCCTATTTGACTCAGAGTGAGCCTGTACAGAATTCCAAGTCTGAATCCTTACATAGGCAAATAGTCTAATATTTCTCTATGGATTGCCTGGTGGGTTTAAACCACCGACCTTGTGGTTAGCATTCCAATGCTTACCCGACACCAGAGCTGCAGCCACGGAATAAAAATATCAGACTTAATGCATAAGCTTCCTTTCTATTCTTAAAGCTTCTCAGTGCACATTAAACAATATAATAATTTAAATGCTAGTTCAATGTTATGGTCATCTTGAAGGCAGTTTTACAAATGTAAAGCACCATTTCTGTGTCCAGAGACTGACTTGACATTTGCTTCGTAGGGTGAACCTGGAGAAGCAGGAGACCCAGGGCCTCCTGGAGAAGCCGGCTCAGGGGTAAGCAGTGCCATGTTATTAATAGAGAATGTGATTTGTTCCGGAAAAAAGAGACCATGATTTAACATGTAACTCGTAGTTGCAGAGCAGTTATTTCCATTTCCTTTCGAACCCATTAAGAATAATCACAAACATGGCATTTCTTAATAAGGTTACATACCCCAAGACATTTTGATTTATACACAAATCAAAAATAACTTACATTTACATAAGTGAGAGTATTAAAACTATAATTTTTCATTGTATAAAGTCTTTCAATTGACTAATTTTAAAAAAAAACTATCAACAAATATAACCCTGCTTCATCAAATAAACATTTAAAAAATATGTTAGAATTGTACCCTTCCAACATTGGTTGGTTGAAACCAGGGGGCCAGGGAGAGTTATTTAGACCCAAAGAGAGCAATGCTTGGGGGGAAATTGTCACGTTGGAAGTGTGACACAGGGAAGTGTTGGAGAGGGAATAAGAAGCTGGTGCAGGCAAATAGCAGGTAGTCACTAAGAAAGCTGCTGAGCATTTTAAGATGCAAAGGCTAGACCTCCAACAATGAAACACTCTATAGCTCAAGGTCAATATTGTTTTTGGGAAACTCTGCTCTAAAGTCTGGAAAATAAGCATATACCTTCCTGCCTTGTGTAGGGTCCCAAAGGAGAAAGAGGGGAGAAAGGAGAAGCAGGCCCACCTGGTGCTGCTGGACCTCCGGGTGCTAAGGGACCACCAGGTGACGATGGCCCTAAGGGCAATCCGGTAAGTGAGCTTGGTCCCCTTAAGGTGTCAGCTATAACCAACTCCTTTTGGAACTTCTTATGGAGAGCTTAGGCATCATGGCCCTCATGCCTGTGGTTGGTGAAGGTAAAACTTTAGAATGCTTATATATTCATAAATATTATCAGTTTGTTTAATTTCTATTTTTTCTGCCATGACAAAGAAATATTCCCATATGGCTTTGTCATGCCTTTTACCTCTAAAACTTGGTAATTCATAACTTCTAAATATTCATTTTTAATTCATTTTTCTTTACAAAAATATATTCCAGGGTCCAGTAGGCTTTCCTGGAGATCCTGGTCCACCTGGAGAACCTGGCCCTGCGGTAAGTAACATGGAACTATGAAGGAATGGGCGTGGGGGAGATATTCCCATTGTATTCACTGTTAACAATTACAGAAAATTCTTCACTTCTTTAAGTAGATTTACCCCCAAAATGAAAAAGAAAACAATAATCACAAGACCAAAAATCTGGGTACAATGAGGGTATTCAATCTAAATTCACTTTTATTTATTTTCAAGATTTTGCATGTGTGTTACACAAACACAGATTATCTAAATAGTAACATCATTGTTGTTCCAAAGTATAAGCTTTTTGTGGTATAAATTTCTAAGATGAAAATATTGGTTCAAATGATAGCATCTTTCTTTATGGTGGAAAAGCACACTGGTCATTTCATATACCTCCATTTAAAAAATCATGAGCATAATATGTTTAATAATTTGTTATTATAGCAATATACCAAAATATGTGGAGAAAATTAAAAGGACAACTTTCCTAAGAGTAAATAAATAAAAGTATGAAAATCCCATAGTTTCACTTGACTATCTTGTAGTAATTTATTCTAAGAAATCACAAAGGCAGATTACTTTAGTTCTTTTTTTCTCATCCATGTTAATTAGTAGTGAGAAATATTGGGGTTAATTTTCTGTGCCCGTTGCAGGGTCAAGACGGTGTAGGCGGTGACAAAGGTGAAGATGGAGACCCTGGTCAGCCAGTAAGTAAAGACACTCATTATTTTTATTCACTAATAGCCTCAAAGCATATTAAAGAAGTCATTGTAAATAGCAAGGATTTTCAAGCCACATATGTCCACAAAGAATTATAAGCAACATTTGTCTTTCAGTTGAGAAGTTTACATTGTTTCCTACTTGATGCGATTCAAAAAGCCTTCATAAAGAGATAAAGGGAAAATTTGCACTCATAGTATGCTAATGAGTGTTTCACATCTATCTGTATAAGTCATCTACTCTATACTATTAAATGAAAAAATATTACTTTTAAAACAAAATTGTTACTAAAAGAAAGATGCCAAGGTTTCAGCCTAGCACATACGAGTATGAAATACCTCCATTATTCATGTACATGGATTCAACATAACAAATATTGATTATTTAGAGGTATAAAGAGGGATGGCACAGCCTTGTGCGTGGCTACTTGTGATTATTTCTGGAGAAAGAGAGCAAAAGTACCGGCACATGAAATAGGAACCAGAGATAAGCTTCACCTATACCAACTTCATCTCTGAACCAGACCCACTACATACAGTCAAATAGATAGGAGCTAATTCTGTGCAGGTGTTGCATACTTTTGTGATTTGTGATAAAAATATTAAGTTTATATAAAAACTTAAAGTGACTTCACAAAATTATATGAGTTTAATAAGATCATTAGCTATATGATTCTATTCATTAGTATGACCGTTTTCCAGGAAATATAAACACAGAGATGCTGAGAAAGATGGTTGAGTTCAATGCAGCTATTTAGAAAGGATGTGGTTCATCAAATAGTACGAAACATTAACATTTATTTTTTCACCCCTTCTAGGGTCCTCCTGGTCCGTCTGGTGAGGCTGGCCCACCAGGTCCTCCGGGAAAACGAGTACGTTTCTTTAATATTTTTAAATTTCAAATGCATTGTTTGCCAATTCTAACATGGGGTTTCTTACTTCTCTTTGCTTATGTCATCTGCCTGTACAAATGTTATCACAGAATATTGTTATTATACTGCATATTGTTATGAAAGGATCTAATAGCACCACGAACAAAAACTCATGGTAGATTTATTGCTGGGGATGCCTTGGGTGGTACAAGCAGGTAAGTGCTGCACTACTCCTGGGAAGTTGAAAACCGGTGGCTATCAAGTGAAGACTCAGAAGAAAGGCCTAGTCATCTTTCCCCATGATTCACTTCCCTGTCGTCTGTTCTGGCAAATAGCAATCTGACATGGGGATTCTGGCGCTGTGAATCGTTATGGAAGCGCAGACTGGTAGATTTGAACCACAGACCTCGCAGTTAGCAGTTTGATGCTCATCAGAACCACTGCTGTGGGCAGAACTGACTTTACATTCATTGTTTTTGTTGTTGTTGTTTCCTTTATGTCTTGTTTGTTTATTTGTTTTTAACTGGAATTATCAAAAGTCCAGGGTTACAATACAACATTAAAAATAAACTACATTTAGTTATCATAGAATACGGTGAGGAGGCAGTACATAATTTAATGGATTTATATTGCCAAACTGATCTTACTCAGAAATAATACCACGATTTTGGAGGAGGAGTATAGTAACTATGAGTAGGAAGGTCTTATTCCACATACCAACTTCAATAGACTATGAGATATACTTTACTTTTATAATATTGTGCCATTGTTCTATTTACATTTTTAAAAAGAAAAAATGATATATACCTACTATCCTGCCTCTTCAAGCACTTAGAACAATTCAAAAATTTCTCCTGTGTTTCTTATAGTCTATTTTTATAACCTGTCCATGAACAAAATGTGTGGTAAGCTTCACAATGTTTCCTACACTTCAGTGATTCAAAGGCAGAAAGCAATTGGGACCACTGTTACTTGTCAGTGGTAGTTTAATTTAGTTTTTTCTCACTAAATATCCTCAGTTCAAACATACAATATCCATGGGATTTAATTTTCTTCTCTCAGCAATATAAAAAGAGTCAATATTTACAAGCAAATATTTCTCTCCAGAAATAATGTATTGTCTATATTTCCCTTGAAAACAATTGCCTTTCACTGTTCAAGTGTTTTTCTACCTTACCTCATATTAAATGTTTGCTTATGGTTTGCAACCCAAAAGAATGATCTTATTAGAAAAAAATTATCACAAACAAACCTTTGGCAGTTATTCTTAGAATGTAATCTCAAAAAAACTCTCACTGCCATCAAGTGGATTCCAACTGCAAGCGACACTTCATCATAACCACCTGTCTTTGCTACACATGCAATTTGTAGTTTATTGAGAGGGTGTCGTGTTTTTTTCTTGCACTAAAATAAAAAGAAGAAGAAAACAGCTGTCCCTGTGGATTTCAGAGACTGTAATTCTGTAGAAAGCCTCATTTGTTCTCCCCTGGAGCAGCTATGGGTTTAAACAGCCAACCTCGTGGGGAACAGCGCACCGCGTCACCAATATGCTCCCAGGGCTCCTGGGGTTGCAAACAGTAACCTGTATTTTTGAGAACTGTGTTGTTTTCTTCCCTGCAGTCTGAGGACCTGAGCGTGTCCAGATGAACTGATGTACCTCTTGTTATTTCAAAACATTTGAGAAGTGGCTACAATGTCTTGTTTGATAGTATAGACAAAATGCCACACTCTAAAAATATCTTTGATAATAGATTGAGTTTTTTCCAGAGAAAACATAAAATTCTGTTTTCGTTTTTTAACCAAACTTCAGATATTGAGATGCACGTGATATAATGATCACTCACAGTGACTCTAGAGGACCAAATATAACTGCCCCCGAATGTTCTGAGACTACCTCTTTATAGGAGTAGAAAGCCACTTCTCTCTCCCACAGAAGGGCGGGTGTTTTCGAACAGCTGGCCACACCGTTAGCAGCCCGAGCTTTCATTATATCTCAGTTGACTCTCTGGCAGTGACATACAATGCATTGCTGAGCAGAGTGACTGAGTCACACCAGCTGGCGTTTTATCTAGCCCTGTTGTTTATTTGTTGTATTACTTTGGGCAGCTACACGCAGTCCCTGCGTTACAATCATGCAATTTACTCACAACTTCTACTAGCCCTGAGAAATTATGTAAAATTTCTTACTTCTTTGAAACAATCGAGCCATTCCCTACTCCCCCAAACCTCTTCACCATAATCACCTTTACTTGCTACCCATGCAATTTTTAATTTATTGAGAGCGTTTCATGTTTTTTCTTGCTTTGAAATTTAAAAAACCAGCTCACTGCATTGAGTCGATTCCAACTCATAGCAATCCCATAGGAGCAGGCAGAACTGCCCCTTGTGTTTCTGAGACTGTAACACTTGAAAGGGGTATGAACTCCCATCTTTCTCCTGCGTTCCTGCACGAGAGCGAGAATAAATTGGAACTGCATACAGCTTCTCTGACCCACCTACACATTCTCAAAAATATAAGGAGGGACGGATCTCTTTCTTACCCTGATGACTGCCTGCCTCTACTTACTTAGCCTCTCTCTTTTCCGAAGGACTTACCTGACAGAGCTGTGCTGAAGATAAGCCATTTTATGTATCATATATATTCGTGTATAAGCCAATTTTTCCAGCACATATTTAATGCCATTTTTGTGGTAAAATTAGATGCCTCAGCTGGTATTTGAGTTGCCTTATACTCGAGTCTACACAGTAATATTAAAGGAATTACTGATTTCCCAGACTAGCTATAAATGTGTTAACTTCATAACTTCAGTCATGAGGTAGTTACTAAATATTTATTAGAACAATGATGATCATAATATTAATACAGATGTGATGCTTTTGATATAGATCAAGTTAAATTCTCTTCAAAGTATAATACCTCCTAAAGAATAGTTATACACATAATATTTTAAAAAATAATCTTAAAGATTTGAATATTTATATCTAACTATTTCAATATGTTCCATTTCTCCACTTGTTCTATTAAG